GGGTTGTCGTTCTGGTCCTGGATCAGTATTTTCACAGTCACATTACTACTGAGTGGAGGAGAGCCTCCATCCTGAGCTTTGACGCGGAAGTGGAAATCTTTGATCTGCTCGTAGTCAAAAGAGCGCACTGCATGGATGACTCCACTATCAGCACTAACGGACACATATGAGGAGACTGGCACTCCGTTAACAGAGGAGTCCTCCAGTATGTAAGAAACACGGGCATTCTGGTTCCAGTCAGCGTCTCTGGCTTTCACTGTGAATATGGAGAGACCTGGAGTGTTGTTTTCTACAATGTAGGCCTCATATGAGCTCCTCTCAAAGACAGGAGCGTTGTCATTGACATCAGAGATCTGTAAGGTGAGAGTGACGCTGCTGGAGAGGGAGGGCACTCCCTCATCAGAGCAGGTCACTGTGATGTTATACTCTGAGGCTCTCTCTCTGTCTAATTCACTGTCTGTCACAAGGCTATAGAAATTATTTGATGTCGACATTATAGTCAAAGCTGTGTTATCGTTGATAAAACAATGAACTTTACCATTTTCGTTTGAATCTGGGTCTTGAACGTTCATCATTGCTACAACAGTTTTCGGTTTAGAGTGCTCAGATATGATATTTGATTTTGACATTATATTAATCGCCGGTTTGTTGTCATTCATATCCACGACTTCAACTATGACTTTACATGAATCTGTAAGTCCACCATCATCACTTGCTCGTACGTTAATATGGTAATTCCGAGCACTTTCATAATCAATATTTCCAGTCAATCTAATCTCACCGCTCTCTTCGTTTATCTGAAACAGTACATGGGCCTGATCTAAACTGTTTGTAATTGAATATTTTATTCTACCATTCGTCCCATAATCTGCATCTGATGCAGTAACACTGGTGACAATAGTCCCTTCTGGGGCATTTTCAAAAACAGTGGCTGTATAGGTGGACTGTGAAAAAACAGGTGCATTGTCATTGGCATCTAAGACCGTGATGAAAATCCGAATGGTTCCTGACATTTGAGGGTCTCCTCCATCAAAAGCCGTTAAAACTAGAGATATCAACTCTTCTTTCTCCCTGTCGAGAGGCTTCTGTAAAACCATTTCAGCCTTTTCTGTTGCATCACCTTGACGGTCACGTTTAAGTACAAAATTATCGGTAGGTTTGAGCTCATACTTTTGAAGACCATTGTTGCCGACATCAAGATCTATTGCTCTATCTAATACAAATTTTGCTCCAATTACAGCAGATTCGCTGATTTTAAAACTGACTTCGTTCTTTTCAAATGTGGGAGGATTGTCATTTATATCTGTAATCTCGACTGTTATACTGTAAAACTCCATGGGGTTCTCCAAAATGATCTGAAAATGCAAAGCACAAGGCGTAGTCTGCCTGCAAATCGCTTCTCTGTCTATTCTGTCTTTGATAAGGAGGACTCCTCGTTCTTTATTCAACTCGATGTATCCCACACTGTCTCCTGTAAAAACGCGAGCTTTGCCTGATTTCAGACGTTTTATGTCTAAACCCAAATCCTGAGCAATATTACCGACTAAAGATCCACTCGGCATTTCCTCGGGGATGGAGTAGCTGACTTGACCGACCACCGAACTAAGATAAAGGACCAAGAAACACAACAATACTTGCCGTTTCATTGTTCTGTCCGACATTTTCTCCGTGATATTTAATAGGACGACTTGTATTCCACGGTGACCCGATACCTATGGACCATTACACCTTATGAAAAACTAGAGATCACTCCACAATATTCCACATCAGTAGAAAAATAGATCCTCTTCACAGCCGTAATTTAGGTGGACGCGGACACTGTAACCCTGTGTGTGTCTTTCTCTGTGTGATATCATCATGACGAGGGAGGCTGCTCTTTAAATCGGCCGTGAAATATCAACACACTGGCCAACAGCGGCCCTAAGAGTGCACAGTAAAGAACTACAAGAAACTGTATGAGAAAGAGACCATGTGGGCTATAGTGGAGAACACATTCTGTATGTACCAGGATTTGAAAGAAAAAATAAATAGTTAATGAGACATGTGTAAAACTGCATAAGAAGTGCTTACTTGACACTTCGGTTAAAAAGGTAATTTATATTTTCCTTTATGGCACAGTGGGAAGTCAGTAACGTCATTTTGATACATGGACAAAGAGATTAAATCTAAAAATTTTTACTACCAGTGAGCATATCATAAACACGTGTAAATTCAGATGTAATGTTCAATTTCACATGTTCAGACAGACAAACAGGTATTTAAAAGCTGTAGCTAATGTAACAAAGCACAACAGGATGGTTTCGTGTGAACTATCAGGCTATCCTCACTCAGAAAAATTAATATGATGTAACAATATATCAGTCCATGCATCTCCAAATAGCGCATATTGGCCTCACCCCAACGCTCATGTAGACACAAATGTATACAAATAAACGCTGCCAACACAAACACCCATGTACTGGCAACAGGGTCCCCTGAGCAAAACCACTACCACTGTCCATGGTGCTGACGGCAGACCAGAACACGGAAATACTGTATGTATCAGTTAATGCAACAATGCAAACAAATGTAAATATATAATTTGGATCCTAAAAAACTAACCTCTACAGGAGAGTCAGGTTCATCCAGGATGCTTTTCTCACCCTGTATCCGCTGCATCGTCCCTGTAGAACTGGGGTCCATTATCAACACGTTCTGACTACCAGCTCCACCAAACTTACAGTCACTCTTCCTGGAGTCAGTCGTCCTACACACCTCGTAGTTGTACACGTGTTGGAGAGTCCCTGTCCCCAAAGTGTCTGAGTAACGTGGTGGATAATATGGAATCACAGGGAGATTGGAGTGATACAGGATGCGAGACTGTCTCCACCTGTAGATCTTCACTGATATAATAACCACTAAACAGGTGATGAAGAGGAAGGAAACTACAGCCAGAGCCAGCACTAAGTAAAAAGTCAGGTTGTCATTGTACTCCTTGTCGTGTGGAAAGTCAGTGAACTCCGACAGCACTTCAGGGAAGCTGTCCGCCACCGCCACGTTAACAATGACTGTAGCTGAACGAGAGGGCTGCCCGTTGTCCTCCACTATAACAGTCAGTCTCTGTTTCACTGTGTCTTTATCAGTCACCTGGCGGATAGTTCTGATTTCTCCATTCTGTAAGCCCACTTCAAACAGCGCCCTGTCTGTGGCTTTCTGCAGTTTATAGGAGAGCCAGGCATTCTGTCCAGAGTCCACATCAACAGCCACCACTTTAGTGACCAGATAGCCCACATCTGCTGAACGAGGCACCATTTCAGCCACCACAGAGCCTCCAGTCTGGACTGGGTACAGGACCTGAGGGGGGTTGTCGTTCTGGTCCTGGATCAGTATTTTCACAGTCACATTACTACTGAGAGGAGGAGAGCCTCCATCCTGAGCTTTGACACGGAAGTGGAAATCTTTGATCTGCTCGTAGTCAAAAGAGCGCACTGCATGGATGACTCCACTATCAGCACTAACGGACACATATGAGGAGACTGGCACTCCGTTAACAGAGGAGTCCTCCAGTATGTAAGAAACACGGGCATTCTGGTTCCAGTCAGCGTCTCTGGCTTTCACTGTGAATATGGAGAGACCTGGAGTGTTGTTTTCTACAATGTAGGCCTCATATGAGCTCCTCTCAAAGACAGGAGCGTTGTCATTGACATCAGAGATCTGTAAGGTGAGAGTGACGCTGCTGGAGAGGGAGGGCACTCCCTCATCAGAGCAGGTCACTGTGATGTTATACTCTGA